TCTCTCTCTTGTCCTTTCTTTCTTTCGTTCTTGCTCTATCACTCTCTGTATTTCTTTGTTTCTGTCATACAACCATGTATCTACATAACTTCCTGCTCATTTATTTATCTGGCTGCCTATTGTTTTTTTCTCTGTCTGTTCATGTATCTACTTCTCTGACTGCCATTCATGTCTGTCCATCAGTCTGTCTGCCTATCTATTGACTATCTGCCCATCTAATTGTCTGACTGACTTCCTGTCTCTCATTTAGTAGACGTTCAGTTTTTGTGTGTGTGCCTGAATAGGTATGTATAGGTTTATGTGATAAGTACATATGAGTGTATATGTGTGATTATGTATGTATGAGTGTTTATGCATGAATAGGTATGTATATATAAATGAGTGTGTGTGTATGTGGATGTCCATGTATGTATATGTGTTATGTATGTTGGGGTAGTTATATATGTGTGTATGTATGTTGGGGTAGTTATATATGTGTGTATGTATGTTGGGGTAGTTATATATGTGTGTATGTATGTTGGGGTAGTTATATATGTGTGTATGTATGTTGGGGTAGTTATATATATGTGTTATGTATGTTGGGGTAGTTATATATGTGTGTATGTATGGGTATTGTGTGTAAATTGATGTGTGTGCATTTATGGGTGCTTGTGTATGTTTACGTGTTTGTATACAATTGGGTATGTTTGAGTATGTGAACGTCTGGGTATATTTGAATGTATGTGTATGCATAAGTGTATACATAGGTATGTTGAGTGTGTGTTTGTGCATTCTTGGATATGTAAGAATGTTTGTACAAATGGCTGTATATGTGTCTGTATGAATATGTGTAACTGTATGAACATGCATGTATGCATAGGTGGGTATGCTTGGGTGTGTACATGTGAATGTGTGTGTGCATTAATATATGGATGTTTACTAAATGTGTATGTGAGTGTATAAATGTGTATGCATGATTGAATGTATGTGGGCTGAATGTTTGTGTGAGTGTATGAATGTTTATTCATGACTGTGAATGTATGTATGAGTGTGGAGGCAAGCAGGTGTATGCGTGTATATGTATGTATGAATGTATATGTATGTGTATGTATATTGATAATGTATGTATATATTGATAACATGCAGTTGTTTTCTTGAAAGATGAGTGCCCGGAAGAGCCCAATGTAAGACGGCCTGCCTGCCCAATTTGTAACCCTTTGAAAATAAAGTTTGTTGATATGTACATACATACGTATGTTTGTATGTGTGTCTGTGTACATATGTATGTATATATGTATGTATGTATGTATGTATGCCATCATCATCATATAGCGGGTCCTTTGCAGAACATCGCTCTCATCACGGTCTGCCTGAAAGAAACTCGGTCTCTCACCAGCTCTCCCACCTCATGCACTTTCATACTCAAGGAGTCACTTATATCCTGTGTCATCTTTGTGTTGGTCATCCCCTGCCCCTCCTTCCTGGTACCATGCCTTCTGCTATAATTTTTTCCAATCCGTTGTGGCGCTTGATATGACCAAAATATTTCAGCTTCCGAGACAGGATTCTGTTTTTTAGCCAATCTTCCTTGATGTTCAGATCTTTCATGATGTCAGTATTTCTCCTCTTTTTCATCCAAGATATTCTGAGAATCTTTCTATAGCAATTCAGCTCAAAAGCTCCTACTCTTTTTCTCAAGGACTGGGAGATAGTCCACGACTCACATCCGTATGTTGCTACAGGAAAGATGCATGCTCTCAAAATTCTAATTTTGATGTATGTATGTACATTCATATAATTGTATGAATGTACATATGTATGTATATGGTGAATGTAGGTATGTTTATGTATATATGTGTGTATGTATGTATATGTATGAATGAATGTGTGTGTGTATGTATGTATGAGTATGTATTTTTGAATGTGTATGATTGTGTATGTGTGATGTGTCTATGGATTATTTCATTGTGTATATTTGTATGTAGACATAACATGCATATTTATAGCATGCAGTTTTCTGAAAGCTGAGTGCGTGAAATGGCTGAATGTAAGACGGTAATTTGTAACCCTTTTAAATTAGGTTTGTTTAGTCTGTTTCTTTACCAGTCTGTCTGTCCAACCATCTGCCTGTCTGCTTATTCATCTATCTTGTATGTTTTTGAAATCCTAAACGTTTCAGGATCTAACTATTTTCCCTGATGACATTGAGTTTAAACACGTCCAGCAGTGCACAAGTGGCAGAGTGTATGTTCTCAGGTTTAAGTCGTCGTCAAGGGAATTCTTCTTCTGGCTTCAGGTATTACATTATTATATTATTAATATACACATTATATTATTATATTCATTGTTGTGCAATTTTTGTGTGGGAAGGGGAACTATTTTCCTCTGCTTGTGGCTTCAGGTATGTAAGGAGGGGGAACTATTTTCCACTTCTATTGGCTTCAGATATGTAAGAAAAGGGAACTATTTTCCTCTTCTTCTGGCTTCAGGTATGTAAGGAAAGGGAACTATTTTCCTCTTCTTCTGGCTTCAGGTATGGAAAGAAAGGGAACTATTTTCCACTTCTTCTGGCTTCAGGTATGTAAAGAAAGAGAACTATTTTCCACTTCTTCTGGCTTCAGGTATGTCAGGAAGGGGAACTATGTAGAGTGTTTGAAAAGTATTATTTCACTTATTATATTCATTGATGTGCAATTTTTTTTGTAGCTGATTTTTTTTTTTTATATGGATGTTTTTAAAAAATAAGGATTATCTTTTACAATTGTTCTGTTTTAACCAGGAGCTTCAATAAATAATGTTAGACATCTTGTTTGTTTGTCTGATCACCATTGTTTTCTTTTCTTTAGACTGTTTTTTGCTTGTTGTTCAGTTTAGTTGACATTCTTTTTGATATGGCAAATATACACAAAATGTTCCTCTTTGTCTCGTTTTTGTCCTCTAGTGGAGCACTGAAATTTCCATTGTAGGAACATTTCTGTCTTTCCAGATGGATAGTTTTATATTGTGCTATAGCGAGGCATAAGAAGTACAGCCTGTGGTGAGGGCAAATGTGACTCACTAACCAGACTTGCTTGCATTAGGAAAAGACTTCACAATTAGAACGTGGGATTTCAGGAAATTGTTGCAATCGCGAGCATTGAACCTCCTTCTTCTCAGCTACTCAGCTCTGAACTTATTGAAACAAAATGTCCCAATGTGGGATCCGAAGAACCATTGTGTGTGGCAAACAAGAATAAACCCACTGCCTCTGCAACAAGCATGTCCTAGGAGTCGACTAATCAGGAGCTTCCTTCGAGGTTGGAGTGCATCTGCCTAAGCTGCAAGGAACAACCAACTGTACACAAATAAGCCAGGAGGTTTCAGGCCCTAGAACAAAGCCAAAGTCTAAAAGACGAACAACTTGGACTTTATGTTGGAGCCTACAGTAAGTGAACATACAAGAATAGGAAACAAAAGGAAGAAAGGTAGAAAAGCAGGAGAGTAGAGGCAGAGAAGGTTATAATAAGCGATACAAGAGAAATTGTGGGAGAAAAGAGGAGAAAAGACAAAAAGATGACCTCGTGACTCACAGACAAGGATGAGAGAAAAGAAAAGGCAAGGTCTTGCTTGTAGTATACATTTGTTTAATTCTCTAACTGCTTTGTTTATATCATGATCTAAGCGTGTGCGGTACTTATACATTGTCCGAACAGCTTTTGTGTAGTTTCACCTTTACAAAGTACTGGTTTCTCTAACCGTCTCATTTTCTACATTCAGGAAGACCGGTCAATGGTCGCTGTCACCATGTTTTTTTACAATTGCTCGTGTAACGTTCTATTCCAGGTCTGGAGAATGAAATGCTAGATCTGGCATTGTAGAGATACGCCACGATCTCCAGTAGAAGGTGGGAAGATCAGTTGGCCTAATAATCATAACGAATATGTTCTCATCCTGCCACTCCTCCAGCTTCTCTCCTCCCTGATCTTTGTGTTCATACCTCAGCTTTTCTTCTGTTGGGAGTGTGTCTAAAGCCTGGTGACGATCACTTTGACAGTAATCATTGATCAGGTGGAAATCTGTATTTCCAGTTTGTAGTTTCAGAATCTGATATTATGCTCCGTCTATAAATAGGCCTACTGTACTTCAGTCTGGCACACATTTATAATGTTCCTATCTAGAGTCAGTATTTCACCCTTTTATCTGCCTTTCCGGTCTGATCGGTACATCTGAGAAGGGCTTCCAGTATTTGGGATTGGGCCTCTTCGAAGTAGATGGCCCGGCACTGCTCCTGCCTGAGATTCCATCACAGGGCGAGCACCATAACATTTTGCTGATTTAGACATATTTATATGGCATGTGTGCTTGGCATCCTGATTGCTGTGGTGCACCTCCTCGTTGGTTGTCGAACTTTCGTACCTTGTCTTGCTAGGGTAGACTGTGATCATACTCGAGGAGCCCTCTGGTTTTACGGCGCCAGATACTCACTGTTGCCTCTTCTCCTGTTAATTTAAACAGTTCTGCCAGCCACGAGAAGGCCAGTAGTTGGACTTTTGCTGTCAGAGGTGATGAATGCACATGCCTTAGGGGTATTTGATGAGAGCTGAGAGCTCATCCACAACCTCTTCCCCAAACTAGGACAGCAATTTGAAACCAGTTCGGGTCCTGACAGTAACAGATTTTAAAAAGAAATGACCCTAGAACATGGGTCGACCCATCCTATAATGAGTACCAGGTGAAGTCCTAAGAAGTAAAGGTGGCTGACGTGACTCATCACCCACCAAGTGCCGATTGGTCTGTAAAATATAGGTTTAGTCTCATATGTCCAATACGCCTGAAAGTGTGGAGAAGATCCTTTACTTTAATTACTTTCATCTTAAATAATAAGCTATAAATTGTTCTTTATGTACGTTTTGCCTCAAAGTCGAGACAAAGTTACAATCAAGATTTCAGTGCACCAGGTTTTATCCAAAAAATTTCCAAACAAGGTTTAGCCGTTTGCTGAAGCATTGAACAAAGCATGAACTCCAGAGTTCCAGCAATGATACTTTTGAATGTATGTGAAAATTGCACTTGAGAACTGAATGACACAGCTAGTGAAAATGAGCCTACAGCCTTCGGAGTACAAAGCAAATGGTTTAAATCTTTCAGTACTAACAGTTGTCACAGAAAATGCTTATATTGGAGGATGTCAGCACTATCAAAAATGGCAAATGTATGTACCATAAAAAGGCTGAAGTTATTATAAAAGTGGACATTGGAGGCCAGATTTTGTGTGTGCTCTGACCAAATGTAAAATCTTAGAGAACACATTATGCTATGATTTGGATTAACAGAGAAGATATCTTCACACATCATGCATTGCCTGGGATCCAAAGAGTTAAGCACTAAACCACCATTTGTGTATGAATCTGCAGGAACCCAGGACAGACAAGGATGAGGAAAACTGTCGGAAGGTGAATGATTATCTGAACAATCCTCCAATACGAGCATCTATCATGGAATCGAGTGCAGGTCCAACAACTCTCAGGGAATCTATTGGAGGTCCAACAACTCTGAGGGAATCTACTGGAGGTCCAACATCTCTCAGGGAATCTATTGGAGGTCCAACATCTCTCAGGGAATCTATTGGAGGTCCAACATCTCTCAGGGAATCTATTGAAGGTTCAACATCTCTCAGGGAATCTATTGAAGGTCCAACATCTCTAAGGGGATCTAGTGCAGGTATTCCTTGATTGTTTTCATATGGTCGTGTGTGTATGAGTGAGTGTGTATTTGCATATTTATGTATGAATGTGTATATTTATGTATGTATCTGTTTATGTATCTATGTATGAGAATATATACATATGTGTATGTATCATAGTTTATGTATCCATAATGAATGATTGGGTGTGTAGTGTGTGTATGTGTCATAGAGCTACTTATCGCCTTAAATGCAGTGGCTTGTTAGCAGCTCCATGACAAAGTGTCTATCTCAAACACAGCTAAAATAACAATGTCAGAGCAAACACAACAGCCTTCAATGTAATTACAAAAATACAAAAGGCAGTTTGCCCCAGAAGTGGCTTGTGTTACAAACCCTACCTCATCCTGCCGAAGTGCTTGAAAATCGCCAATCACACACTAGCCTATTTTCACATGTTACCAGGTCCGAACCAACAGCCTCCGCTCCAAGCTCTTTCCTTCGCCTTGTGCAGCCTACGGTGGGACTGCTGTGCGACTGCACAGCTCTGGGTAGTCTGACATACCATGTCACTGCGCTAAGTCACCTGGGTCACATCCCCACAACACTCTCCTCTTCTTCTTATTCACCTCTTGAACCACCTTGCCCAGACACAGCTAAATATCTAAGTGAATCTGTAGCAGGGTGGATTTTTATAATTGACCTACAGCTTTTGGATCAGTTTAGCCTTTTATGCTTACCTGAAAATGTCATGGGAAGTAAATGCAGCTAGCATAATGTTGACAGAGCATCTATCAAGTGCCGAGTGGCCTGTAAAATTATGGGTAGGGCACTTTTTTTCCTTCTTCTATGTTGGTCTTTGAAAGGGGGGTTGGTATGTTCTGTTGTGGAATACAGTTAGGCTGTGATATCCGTTTACAACATGCTAGCTAGCTAAAGAGCCGTGGGTCTATGCCCCCCCCCCCACCCCTCGCTCATTACTGGACCCGGGGACCCACAAGAGGCCCAAGAATGATCCTTTATTTATTGTATTTTTGCTGTTGGCAGGCGAGCAAGACCTACAGAACATTCTGGAAAGGATGAACCGGCAAGAACTCATGCAACTACTGAGTAAGTTGAAGGTCACTTGTGAGGTTTGTTTGATTTCACTGGGGGTTACAGAGATGCTGAGCTATATGGAAACCATTGGCTAGGGAAAATGAACCAGGGGGGAGACTGAATTTCTTTCAGGCAGGCTGTGATAAGAGCGACGTTCTGCAAAAGACTTGTCACCTGAGACAGGACTTCACATCTGCAAAGAAATTTCTTAGGACATAACCAGTTTTTGATTCAGCATAGCTTTGCATTTACTGGCCGAGATTAGGTGTAGATTGGTAATCTCCTCTTTGGATTTTACGAATTTTATTGCCAGCAGACTCAAATGCAATGCCAGTGGGGAGATTTTGTGCTGAAACATTCTGCCTAGGAAACCTTTGCGAAAAATGTGTAAAAACTGGGAATTCCTAACTAACAAATCCTTGTAACAAAAAATTTAATTTTACACTGGTTGCAAAATAATTATTTCAAATCTATTGGTATATATTTTTCTTTTCTAAATATGAGTCACGGATGGAAGCCTGAAACGAGTGCAAGAATTTAAATACTTAGGAAGCATCTTCACATACAGTTGTAAAATAGACAGAGAGAAATGAGAAGCTAACAAGCCAACAATGTCACATACCAATTTGCTGCAATTTTAAAACACCCTGCTATTCCAGTAGAGACAAAAAGATAAATTATAAATACAATATTTATACTGGCTTTAGGTTACCAGTGTCAGACTTTAACATTGACAAAAGAACATGAAAGAAAACTAACCATCTGTGAGATAAGATGTTTGAGAATGACTACGAATAAAACCAGAAAAGATTGAGTGAGAAACGAGGCAGGGGATGACCGAGAGGAAGATGGATTGAAGGAGTCACTGACACCTTGAGACTTCATAACAACACGGCATATCAAGCGACTGAGCGTGCCCTGTTTCAGCTGCTGATTGTTTGATGAACTGTTACGCCTAGCGGCATAAGCAGATATTGACAAAAAGAAGAAGAAATTCAAGACAAAACATATGAAGTGAAGGATCAATAAATCACTAACGAAAATAAGAATTAGATGAATGCATTCCTTTGTATATGTGAAAGAAAATTATTCAGAAACCCTATTGCCAGGTGTCAGGGAAGGCTGAAGTGCTTTTACAATAATAATAAAAAGCAGCTATTTTTCATGTACTATTTGTAGTATATAATTATACCCAGCTTGCCCAAACACTGCACAAGTGCAGACAGAATCAGTGCCATTAACTAGGCTTGTCACGAACTGCTCAATGCATGAAAGTCGGTTTCATGTCTTTACAGGGATTTGTACAGCACCACAAATTATTGCATCTTGGTGAAAAGGAATAAAAATTAAATATAATTTCAAGCAGGATAAAAGAAACCAGTGATTAAAAAATAAAATATAATTTCAAGCAGGATAAAATAGGTTGAGAAACCAATGATTACGAAAATAAAATATAATTTTAAGCAGGAAAAAATGGGTTAAGAAACCAATGATTAAAATAAAATATAATTTGTAGCAGGATAAAATGTGTTAAGAATAAACCAGTGATTAAAAAAATAAAATATGTAATTTGAAGCTGGATAAAATGGTTTGAAAAACACAATTTTTAAATTTTATTTTGGCAGACGGTATGGGAAGTGTGCCTCCAGACCCTGAATTGTTAGAAACCGTGTTTAGACAACCTGGCAGTTTGCAGTATTCTGTTGCAGAGCTGTAAGTAGATCATAGTGTTATTGTTTTTTGAACATTCTAGCAGAGAGGAAAAAGAAATGGCATTTGTGAGTGCATCTTTCTGCAAAGTGTATAATTTGATGCAAAACTGTTTCAGAATAATTACAGAGGCAAACACTTCCTACACAAAATAATTAAATGGGAGTAGACCACACAGGACAAGAGGCAGAGCAAGATTATATATCAGATTTGATGTCCTAATAAGTGAAAGAAAATTGGTCTCCGGCCAGCTCTGCCGCCTCATGTACTTTCCTACCTAAACAGTGATGCCTGGCACAAAGAAGATACTGGTAAAAAATAAAAAAGATTGTTTACATTTCACAGTGTAAGTATTTTAGTAAATCTTCCTCTTTGCGCTCACCGATTGTAAACTCAGGCGGAAAGTTCTGGTTGTTCATCCACCCCTGGACTTTAGTCTTGTTCCAGAATCTGAGCTTTTGTGTACACATCCATTTTATAGACCTGGTATATTTGTATGCAGACTGTTGGTCCTTGCCTCTCAGAATGATGCACTGCGACCTCGAAGAAAACAGCCCTAATAAATCAATCTTTATGATATATTTGCTAGGCAGGCAGTAGGTCTGATTTTTTATTTTTTCACAATGGGGCCATGCAAGCCACAGAGGGAGTTTTTGTAACTAAAATAAATATGTTATTAGCCGTTGCATTTGTTTTTTTCCAGAGCCTCATTTTCACAAACTGCTGTAACAAAAGCTACATCAGGAGACGCCATGCCTTCACTACCGATTCCTGTGGTAGCTAGTAGCACTTCAACTACACAGCAGACAACAGGAAGTAGCAGCAGGAGCAGCATCACATCTGGAGGCAGGTCCACATCGGCCAGTGCTGCTTCACAGAAAGGTGGACCTCATTCACAGTTGAGCCACCTGCAGGATGGCCTCTCTACCATCAGTGGTAAGTAGACTTTGATGTATAATTATTTTATGCGCCACCTGGCTTTTGGGAGCCACTAGACTTTTGGGAGCCACTAGACTTTTGTGAGCCACAACTTTTGTGAGCCACTAGACTTTTGTGAGCCACTAAACTTTTGTGAGCCACTAGACTTTTGTGAGCCACTAAACTTTTGGGAGCCACTAGACTTTTGTGAGCCACTAAACTTTTGTGAGCCACTAGACTTTTGTGAACCACTAAACTTTTGGGAGCCACTAGACTTTTGGGAGCCACTAAACTTTTGTGAGCCACTAGACTTTTGTGAGCCACTAAACTTTTGGGAGCCACTAGACTTTTGTGAGCCACTAAACTTTTGTGAGCCACTAGACTTTTGTGAACCACTAAACTTTTGGGAGCCACTAGACTTTTGTGAAGCACTAAACTTTTGTGAGCCACTAGACTTTTGGGAGCCACTAGACTTTTGGGAGCCACTAGACTTTTGTGAGCCACTAAACTTTTGGGAGCCACTAGACTTTTGTGAGCCACTAAACTTTTGTGAGCCACTAGACTTTTGTGAGCCACTAAACTTTTGGGAGCCACTAGACTTTTGTGAGCCACTAAACTTTTGTGAGCCACTAGACTTTTGTGAACCACTAAACTTTTGGGAGCCACTAGACTTTTGTGAACCACTAGACTTTTGTGAGCCACTAGACTTTTGTGAGCCACTAAACTTTTGTGAACCACTAAACTTTTGTGAGCCACTAGACTTTTGTGAGCCACTAGACTTTTGTGAGCCACTAGACTTTTGTGAGCCACTAGACTTTTGTGAGCCACTAGACTTTTGTGAGCCACTAGACTTTTGTGAGCCACTAGACTTTTGTGAACCACTAAACTTTTGGGAGCTGCTAGACACTGGCCTGCTTCCCTTGAGGTCTTGGGCCTGAATCGGAATGAGGTCGGATTCTTTTTAATATTGACCTTGCCTCTCAGGTTGACCCAGACTATTATGGGCACCAAGTAATGTTCTGGGAAATAAAGGCGGCCGGCGTGGTGTTGAACACATCACCCATCGAGTGCTGATTGGTCTACACAAAATAGGAGCCTGGCAGCATTTGCAAGAATAGACCCACTGCCTTCCCAACAAGCATATTGTAAAAGTCGACTAATTAGGAGTTCATTTGCCTGTGGGAAGGGAGGGGGGCTGGGGTGGAGGAACCAGCACTCTGGATACAAATAAACCAGATCTGTGGTGGAACGGATGTGCACAAAAAACTCAGGTTCTGGAATAAGTGTCGAACCAGAACTTTCCGCGTTGGAGTTTACAGCCAGTGAACATGGATAAGGAGATGTGCTTGTTGTGCCGCTAGTGTAAAGGGGGTCACTTACATTAAAACAAATTTTAAAAAAAGGAATGTAGAATTCTCAAGACAGCTAATGTAGAATTCTCAAGACAGCTAATGTAGAATTCTCAAGGCAGCTAATGTAGAATTCTCAAGGCAGTTAATGTAGAGTTAAACCAGTTTAGGTCCCTTTTTCACGTCTTTATGTGTCTTGGCCATATAATGCTAAACCTTTAATTTTTAGACCAGTCGACATTCAAGGCGTGATGTGATCAGCCTTTACATCCCAGGACCTGGTAGCTATTGAAGGCTGGGTTGACCTAACAGCCAAGGTCATTTCCCCCCCCCCCCCCCCCCTCCCCCTCACCACCCAAAAATAAAATCAGTTCAGTGCAGATTTAAAGCCATGACGTTTGCAACAGCAGGCAAACATCTAGCTGCTACTAGAGGGGAGAAGTTCAGTTGAGTTAAGTAAAGAATTGACGTCACAGCTTTCAGGGCATTTCCATGCGTTCTTCGTCCTTATCTTCAGCAGCCAGCGCAGAGTTCCCATTGTTATGATACCAGTCACAATCTGGTTATATCTCCGTCTTGCCTTTTCTCTGAGAGTAGTAAGCCACCCAGACCCTTTGTTACACCCAGGTGCCTCAATCTCTCCAGGCCATAATAATATTTTTTTTTCTACTGATTCCGTTGCTTGTTCCCAGAGGGCCTTGACCACATCTGCCTTGTCATGTAGAGTAAAGTAGTGCTTAGCGAATTTCCTTTCTGGTTTAGAGGCTATAGGTTCAGACCCTCATTGAAGCAGATTTTTAAAATTTATTCTGGATTCCAAGGTCAGCTAAGTGTCTTCTGCTTTTGTCCCAAAAGGACGGTTGCCTGTTGTGTTGTAGTTTACCTCCTTTATTTCCCAGCACATTATCTGGTTGCAAGACTTTTTGCTTCTGAAAAAAAGCTGCAAGTACTAGCACAAAGTGTCCCTGAAGGTGAGGTAGTTACTGTAGTGTGTTTGTTGCAATAGCGCTGAAAAAAATTATGCCTTAAAAAGGTGCCGGTACTGCGTTTCTCTGCATACTTCTAGAAGTGAAAAGCCCTGCCTGGTAGTTGTTGTATGTTGGGTGGAGATGGTAAACTTAGTCATTAAAAAAATATAGTCCAGGTGCAGATTCAAACCCCAGATCTTCGGGCGCGTAGGCCAGTGTTTAGCCATGAAACTATTATGGCTCCTTTAGAGTAATAAGAGCAGACAAAACCCACTGACGAACAGAGAAGGACTCGCTACCTTGGCAACAAAACTGTTAAACTGGGTACAAGAAATTGATTCCACTTAAATATACCACAGTCACAGCCAAAAGTTGGACTGGCAGATAGGACCCACCCAAAACAAAGGACCAAAATTAAAATATGAAACCTAGACATGGAAAGATGGGCAACACGACACACGAATAGACACACTAAGTCTTTTTACAATGGCACATTAAAAAAATTTATAATTTAAAAAAAATTAATAAACATGTCACATTGGTATAAATAAACTTGACTTGAATTATAGCAAAAGCTGGTTGTAGCAGTTCGTACGAATTTGACTGCCCTTTTAATTTAATTAATCTGATGCCCACAGAGCAGACTTGGCTGGTGCACTGAAGCCTGAAGTGATGATTTCCATACTGGCAAATCCTGGAGTACAGAGGCAACTTACTGAATTTTTACCGGAGGGCACATCCTTGTCAAAGACAGAGGATGAGATGTGTAACAAGGCATACACTCTCCACAGTTTCTAAAGACAGAGGATGAGATGTGTAACAACGTACACTCTCCACAGTTTCTAAAGACAGAGGATGAGATGTGTAACAATATACACTCTCCACAGTTTCTAAAGACAGAGGATGAGATGTGTAACAATATACACTCTCCACAGTTTCTAAAGACAGAGGATGAGATGTGTAACAATATACACTCTCCACAGTTTCTAAAGACAGAGGATGAGATGTGTAACAACATAGACTCTCCACAGTTTCTAAAGACAGAGGATGAGATGTGTAACAACGTACACTCTCCACAGTTTCTAAAGACAGAGGATGAGATGTGTAACAACATAGACTCTCCACAGTTTCTAAAGACAGAGGATGAGATGTGTAACAATATACACTCTCCACAGTTTCTAAAACATGAGATGTGTAACAACATAGACTCTCCACAGTTTCTTCAGGACAGGATGTGTAACAATATACACTCTCCACATCAGATGAGATGTGTAACAACGTACACTCTCTCCACAGTCTTTGATTAACAACATAGTTCCACGTAAAGACAGAGAATGAGATGTGTAACAACATACACTCTCCACAGTTTCTACAGGTTATCTATATGTGTCTTTGATTATTGTTCGTGGCAGTGTTGCATGAAATGTAGTTTTTGTCATTCTGAGTGTTGTATATTATAATGTCATGTTGATTAATTAGTCATTTTTGAGACAGTTTTTGCATTCAGTGTTGTGTATTATAATGTCATGTTGATTAATGAGGTCATGTTTGTGACAGTTTTCACATTCAGATTGTTGTACATTATAATGTCATGTTGATTAATGAGGTCATGTTTGTGAAAGCTGTATGTACTGTGGTGTGTACTGTATCTTATGTTGGTTCTTTGGGTGGGTTCTGGAGCCCCATTCTGGGGTTGGGGTTTGAATAGACTCACTACCCCTAGAAAAGCATGTTGTAGAGGACGACTAATCAAGGCTTTTACCTCTGAAGTCGAAACACGTCTGCCTTAGAGGCAAGAAACGAACTGTCTGCTTACAAGTAAACCAGATCTGTAAAACAGGTGTGCACACAAAATTGAAGTTCTGGAACAACAGTAGAGTCCAGTAAAGATGAACAACCAGGACTTTCCACCGGAGTTTACAGCTAGTAAATGTTGAGAAAATAAGATCATGTGTGACAGATTTTTGTGTGTGGAGCGTTGTGTACAGTATGTCAAGTTGCTATGTACAACTGAATTTAATAAATTATGTGCAGTACTCAACATATAAAATTGGTAACCACAGAAATGAGATGTCTGAGAAGTCTGCAGGATTGACCAGAAAAGATAAAATTGGGAATAAGGTCGTAATGGAAAAGGTCTACACGGAAGCATTTCTAAATTACATACAAAGACAGCAAATCAGTTTTTTTGCCAACTCTGAGAGAGAATGCCTTATATACCAAGAGATGAACGAACCAACTAACTTCATTTTCAAAGAGTAACAAATTGGGCACACGGGCCCGACTTACATTTGGCCCCTTAAAACACCCATCTTTCACTTCACAGTTGTACTGTTTCAATAAAGCATGTTTTGTTGAAATAATAAATGCATATTATGAAACGCGGGAAAAAAAAAACACTTACGAGCGCGTGCACACACACACACACACCTGCATACACATGCTTACCCACTCACTCCCTTACACACAGACACATACATACATACATACATACATACATACATACATACATACATACATACATACATACATACATACATACATACATACATACATACATACATACATACATACATACATACATACATACATACATACATACATACATACATACATACATACATACATACATACATACATACATACATACATACATACATGCATGCATGCATACATGCATGCATACATACATACATGCATACATACATATATACATACATACATATATACATACATACATACCTACAGGCATACCTGTATACATACATACATACCTACAGGCATACCTGGATACATACATACATACCTACAGGCATACCTGGATACAGAGACACACGCAGACACACACATAGACAAACACACACAGAGGAGAAGGAGAAACACAAGGTAGACCAAGACACTAAAAAATATTTTCTATGGTACAACTTATACTTATGAAATCTTTATTGGAGTACTGTTTTTTTTTTTAATGTTACAACTTATACTTATGAAATTTATTTGGAGTCCTTTTGTTACTTTTTCTATGGTACAACTTATACTTAAGAAATCTTTTTTTGGAGTACTGTTGTTACTTTTTTTGTGGTACAACTTATACTTATGAAATCTTTATTGGAGTATTGTTTCTGTCCTGTTGGCAGGTTTTAGCCTTTTTAGTGCAGCTCTACAATCAGGTCAGCTGGGTCGTCTGATGTCAAAGTTCAGTCTCGGCGAGGATGTGGTCAGTGCTACAACCCACGGAGGTATGTGGTCCTTATATCAAATCAGAGAAATGTTTTGTTTACTCGCTGTATGGTGCGGAAACCTGGACAATAAATAAGCAGCTAGAAAATGTGTCTCTAGAAAACGTGGATATACACAAGCATAGGTCCTATTTCATGGAAACAAAAACAATCAAAATACAGAGGTCAGTATTTAGTAAGTAAAAAAGGTAAAGGACTCTTCCCAAGCTTCAGGCATATTGGGCATGTAAGGTCTAGGCCGGGATTGCTAGGATTGGGCCGTCTGGTGTATCCTTGTGCCACGGGACCGCTACGGTAGCATGAAGGCCATCCTGGGTCACCCCGAAACGTCCTGGCCAACAGGGCTCTGGGGAAGTTGTGACAGACCTAGCAAACCCACAATGTATTTACTACCGCTACAACAAATACAACAAATTGTCGGTATCTGTGGCTTAGGCGTTGCAAACACACTTCATAGTGCCGGTTTCCGGGTTCGATCCCAGCTGCGGACCCTGCTTTGGTTTTGACAGTGGTATTGAGAGTTGACAGAAAGAAACGGCAAACTACTAGACCTAAAGTTCCCTAGAAAACCCACACATACATAAAAATGCTGGGGTTGGTTCTGCAACGTCCTGTAAAGGATACACAACTATCTAACAACAAATACATTGAGATATAAATGAACTGATTAAACATCATTTAACTATGGCAGTGTTAAAGAATTAGGAGACAGAAAAGCAAATTACAAGATTGCAACACTTAACACCGCAGGCCTGGGAAATCAAACAGAAGAGATTGTTGAAATAATGGAAAGAAGGAAAGTCAAGTTAATGGGGCTAGCTGATATAAGACACAAGGGAACTGGAAAAAAGAAAGTACACAGAGACTATCTATTAACATCCTCAAGAGGAATAAAAATCAAAGAATGGAGTGGGTTTCCTTGTGCATCCAGGCATAGCTTAGACATCTGTTATCACCATGATGTGTCTACGGTCGAGGCATCCAGAAGAGCATGAAGCAGTACCTTATGTCTCCCTCGACACCCGAAGAGGTAAAAGGGGACGTAAAGAAGAAGGGCTCGGCCTATAATCGGCACTTGGTGAGGGATATGGTCAGCATCATGCCGGCCACCTTTCCTGCCTAGGACCCCACCTGGTACCCATTCAAGGCTGGGTCCACCTTGCAGCAGGTCAGTATTTACATGTGTAAAATAAGGGTAAACATTATGTTGAAGCCAGTAATTCCATAGGTTAAAAATAGGTAGTCAATGTGTGGGACCATTATTTTGTGGTATTCCTTCCTCTTCTATCCTTTAGATATGTGGAGCATAGGCCCTCGACCAACACATTCGTCATCCTTCCTTTGCTGTTTAATGCAGCTCATCCCATGTCCTCCGTGTCTGTTTCAGTCTCAAGCTCTCTTCAGCATGAGTTTTTTGGTCTGCCTTTATTTCTATGCCCCTGTTTGTTCCAGTGCAAGGACATTCTAGTTCACCCCAAGTCCTCCCTGTCTGGTTTTAATTTCACTCTGTCGCTCCATTCTGCATGCATTTTTTAAAAATCTGCCTTTATTTCTGTGTCCCTGTATATTTATGTGCAAAGACATTCTAGGTGTAATGTTCTCAGGTTTTCTCAACATGTGTCCTATTCAACTCCAGCTGGGTTTTTTCTTCTTCACCTCTTGATTCACTAGAATTTGTTTAGTTCACTCTCATGAGAGCTCAACGTTAGTGATTCTGTCGAACTATGTATATAACTCACTTTGTTTTGTGCAGGCACCAGCTAATGAATATTTGTAGTTTATTAGTAATTGTTTTAGTTGTTCATGATTCCACTCAATACGGCAGGACTGATTTGACATTAGAATAAACAATTTAAAGCTTTGTATTATTTTTCATTTTCTCTGACTTCCACAAATTTCCTGGCATGTTAAAAACTGCTCTTGCTTTTGTATTCATATTTTAATCTCTTTTTCAGTTCCCCCATCTTTTCTACAATATTGCCCAATAGTATTTATATTCCTTTTGTAATTTTGTTAACAATTTTTTTTTTTTACTTGCTACTTCATCTTTGTGAGGAACGACTGACCGAGTGGTTACAGTATCAGGCTCTCATGCGGGAGACCCGGTTTTGACCCCCCGGTAAGGTGTGGAGCAAAAATGAGCATCCTGACCTGCATAGTCAGTGGTGATAATGCTAGTCATGTGGCCCTAAATCCTCAGGCTCCTGACCTCTCTGCCTACACTGCCCTAAATCCTCAGGCTCCTGACCTCTCTGCCTACACTGCCCTAAATCCTCAGTCTCCTGACCTCTCTGCTTACACCGCCCTAAAACCTCAGGCTCCTGACCTCTCTGCCTACACTGCCCTAAATCCTCAGTCTCCTGACCTCTCTGCCTACACCGCCCTAAATCCTCAGTCTCCTGACCTCTCTGCCTACACCGCCCTAAATCCTCAGTCTCCTGACCTCTCTGCCTACACTGCCCTAAATCCTCAGTCTCCTGACCTCTCTGCCTACACCGCCCTAAATCCTCAGTCTCCTGACCTCTCTGCCTACACCGCCCTAAATCCTCAGTCTCCTGACCTCTCTGCCTACACTGCCCTAAATCCTCAGTCTCCTGACCTCTCTGCCTACACCGCCCTATAACCTCAGTCTCCTGACCTCTCTGCCTACACTGCCATAAAAAGTGATAAATCCAGACAGTAGTAACAGCTTTTACTTTATCTTTGTTTTTCTCTTCACAGATAGGGAAGCTTTCATCAGAGTTGTGCAGAAGGTCACAGAGAAGATGGATAAAGACGAGGAAGACTCCATGGAGCACTGGCTTAATTCTAGCCCACTGAACAGTCCGGAAAACAGCGGAATCGAACCCCTGCCTAGCAAAGATGTTTTAATTGAACAGATCATGTCTCTTCTGCACAAGAATGACAGTTTTGGATTACATTTTGGTAGTATTTATAATAAAAATTGTTTTGAAAATGGCATACCAGATGCGGAAAGGAGAGTATATGTCGCTGGAGGTTTGGAAGCTGCGCCTCAGTTTTCAACTGTTGCAGAATTTATTGAGATCCTACAACATATAGCTGAAGTAAACAGAATTGTACCCATTTCAGCCGGTTTCGATGAGGTGGGTCATTCTGGGTTTATTAGTCCCAGTGAGAAGGTGAGGTGCTCCAGTCCCATAGTACCAGCTCCTGAAGCATTTCAGTATGAAGCTGAGTATGGTAGTTATTGGATCACAGAAGAGAAGGACCTGAATTCCTCAGATGTGAAGTGGTGCCGTCATGCAATAGAGCCAGGATATCTCCATTCAAGCCATACCTCTATACAGAACGTGTTTCCCAGAACCGGTGTAGAAGACTATGAAAGGGCTGTTACAGCAGAGAATAATATGCTGGATGGTAGAGCTAGGAGCCGAGAAGAGATCGAACAGAAAACTTTGGATTTAAATTGTGGGTACTATTTAGCGGGAAGCCGTTACTTTCGAGAGGATGAATTATATGGAGCTTATGTTGCACATGGTAAAGAGCTACACAAAGATGAGTTTGAGGTTCAGGCTGGTAGAGCTAAAGATCCAGAAGAGAATGAAGTAAAATCATTAGATTTGAACCATGTGTATCATGACATAGGAAGCCGTATCAATCAGCAGAAGTCTACAGAAACCTATAACAAATACAGTGAAATGGTTATCAGTCATAAAGTATCAAATGAACTCCTGTATCCAGTAGAGGATTCTGTGACATTATTGGATGTAAACTTGTGCCCCCAATTGGCTGAGCCAGAATCTACATCTGAATGCAGCCATACCTATCTGCAGCAGCATTATTTTGGACACAGTGAAGATATTATGAGGGTTGAAACTAAATTTCAAGATGGTGGCAAACGAAATTCTGCAGAAGAAGAGGTGAGGTCATTGGGTTCAAACTGTGTCTCTTACATGACAGACCCTAAACTGCTGTCTTCAAGCCTGGAATTCCTGCAACAGAGATCTACAGGAACTACAAATGGATATGAGGAAATGGTTAGCAGTGTTGAAATTGAGCTTCCCAATTGGTTTGGAGAAGATAACTCTAAATGTGGAATTATAGTGGAAGACAACTCTCCTCATTTTGATGTAGAAAGAGATTATTTATCTAAATTTACACTAGAAACAGATTATTCATCTGCACTTAAAGTAGAAGGAAATTTTTCATTTGAACTTCAGCCAGAAAGACATTATTCATCTAAACTTCAACAAGAAAGGGATTCTCCCCCTAAACTTCAACAAGAAAGAGATTCTCCTCCTGAACTTCAACTAGAAAGAAAGTATCCACCTGAACTTCAACTAGAAAGAAAGTATCCACCTGAACTTCAACTAGAAAAAAAGTATCCACCTGAACTTCAAGTAGAAAGAGATCATTTATCTAAACTTCAGGTAGAAGATAATTTTTTTAAGTTTAAAGTAGAGCATGTTAATGCTTTTAAACATGTAAAAGATGTAGAAAATGATGTAAATGAATCAACAAAGCGACAGATATACATTCAGAATGAGGAAGAAGAAATTTATGTGGACAATGATAAATCAGCAATTTTTGTTGAAGATCTTCACCAGGACAGGACAAAGGTCAACAGCAGGCCAGATGAAAGGGAAAGAAGCTTTGTTCATGCCAAATTTGGTCAAGAAAAGTTACGATATGCCAGATGCATTCAAAACAGCATGATGGCAGCTACCTTCTTAAACAGCATGTATGATATTAATGAGGAGGATGTTGAACAATGCAAAGAAGATGCGTCTGGCGTTAGTGTCGTCTACTGTACCAGAAATGAGACAGACCGAAAAGGCACCCTTCAACCATCAGAAGGTTACTTACCGTTGCATCAAGAGGCTGCAAGACCTGAGAGAGGAGGTCTGTCTCATCTAGCACTTGAAAGTTCTGTAGATGTAAATGACTGCCTCCTAAAGAGTACCAAAAAGAAATATATCTGTACTGTACATAAAGATCACATTCACAAGAATGAATGTAGCATAGACAGGCAAAGAAATATTTTTCCAGAATTTGAAAGTTCGGTAGATGGAAAGGAAACCAGCATTGGAACTTTAAAGGAAAGTTCCAGAATTTG